CGTCTGTAGTATAAGCTAGGCACGTTCGCGCTCTCTAATCTCTCAGGGTAATTGAGGTGCCGAAGCGCAGGCACCAGTCATGTGGCCTTCCTATGAACATTTTCAACCAACTGACAGTCCCTAGTATATCTCGGGGACCAGACGGGGTGACAGTACTCTTATAAAACCTAATAATTTATTTGCCTAATTTACCTTCTTCTCGCAATGGCCCGAGAACTTCAACTCATTGTCAACATACACACCTGGATCCTTCTCACATTGTCTCAAATAGTGCAGTTTAACCTACATTAATTTTAGCTTTATGCCTGGGAAGATATTGCAAGCATAATGTATTGTTTAATGGTAGACCCTGCTGCCATATGGCATCACGAAAATTGTGACCAAGTCCCAGGTTGCTCATCTGACATTGTGCTTCATTTACACATAATTGCAGGGTCTCAATTGTTTATTTTACTATTGACAACACGACATACTTATATTGTTTCTCACTCTTGATATTTTTTAATTTTTATATTTCTTTATTATTATTATTATTATTATTATTATTATTAGTATTATTAGTATTATTTTATTTTTATTTTTTATTTTTTATTATAAATTTACTTATCTGAAATATTATTTTTACTACATTTTCGCCCCCCAGGCCCCGATGTGGGTCAGTGACCTGTGCCTGGGTGGGCTAATACCTGTTAAAAAAAAAACAAAACAAAAACATGAGCTTTCAGAGGCGACCCTATACAGGAGATTTTTATCATGTTGTCCCTTTAAAAGTAAAATATTTACGCTTTCTGTAATGTAAAAATGTATTCGTTTTCTGTAACAGTTACTCAAGATTTAGTGGATAACTCTTTCAAATTGTGTCTTGGGTTGAAACTATAATGCTTTTACTTTTTTTACTTCTATCCTCTTCGCCACTAATCGGCTTGTTAGCCGCTTGGGCGATCGGTCACGTCTCTGATTACTTTTCCTTCTCATTTATCTTTTTCACCAAAAGATCGGCTTGCTTTCGGCCCGGGCGATCGGTCACGTCTCTTGTCACGCATTGTTGGCAAATACTGGGCATGGACCGGCTCCTGAATGTACCTGAACCCGCTCCAGTGTTGGTCAAGTCTTGTCTTGAAAGAGCTCACACTCGGTGCCGTCACAACACTCTCTGGTAGATTGTTCCAAGAGCTTACAACCCTCACTCCGAAAAAGTTTGCCCTCACAGTTTTCTGGACTTGCGGCTTCTTCAATCTTGAGCTGTGACCCCCTGTGGGGCGAGCGTCCGCCAGCTCCAAGTAAGGACACTCAACTGAGTAGTGCCCCCTGAGATGCTTATACACCTCAACCAGGTCCCCTCTTGCCCGTCTGTAGTATAAGCTAGGCAATTTCAGGCTTTCCATAGCATATCTCGGGGACCAGATAGGGTGACAGTACTCCAGATGGGGAAGCACTTCACTCCTGAAGATCGTTACGAGGGACGGACCGTCTAGATATCTGAACGATCTTCTTATAAGACCCAATAATTTATTTGCCTGATTGCGAGGAACATGATGACTGATGCCCGGAGGTGAGGAGAGAAGCTGGCTGGGTGGGAGTGTTGTATACTGATCGCCGTAAATATTTAAGTTATCAAAACCTTCTTATAAATTGAGCCTTTTATATGGAGAAAGAGAACAAATAAATAATTTTATTCTGTAGCATTTCCGTCGGAAATTTATATTTTTAGAGTATTCTGATCGATAAAATTACCAACATTATTAGTTGTTCAAAGTGAGCAAGGCTTTGAAGTAGAGGGAAAATGTGGGGTAAAATACCTAAAAATAACACCAAATAAACCTTTACAAACCTAACCTAACCCTTGTTTCTATTTGCTTTATTAGGTCGTGTTGCGTCTCTGTAACAAAGCGTGTTTGGCACTTGGGCCTTCGATGTTGAGCGTCAGAAATTAGACAGTCATTACATATATATACACATATACTGTATATATATATATATATATATATATATATATATATATATATATATATATATATATATATATATATATATATATATATATATATATATATATATATATATATATATATATATATATATATATATATATATATATATATATATATATATATATATATATATATATATATATATATATATTGTCCACCCGGGCACAGATCATTTGATGACCCACATCAGGGCCTGGGGGGCCGAAAATATAAAATAATAATAATAATAAATATTTAGATTAAATGAAAATATTAAATAATAATCCATAGATAAATACAAAAAGACTGAGAAATAATTTATGTATATGTTGTGTTGTCAGAGTATGGTTAACAATTATGGAGACCCTGCTGTTGTGCAGATCAGCTACCTGGGACTTGGTCAAAAATTTTGTGGTGCCATATGGCAGCAGGACCTATGGGAGTACATTGGCAACCATGAGCAAACTTTGTGGCCAACCCGACTCTCACACCCTCTCTTACTACATCCTCACTTGCCCTATGACCTCCTCCTATAGGTCCCCAGCCGTTACCAACACCTCTTCCCTCCCAGACCAGATATCCCTACTCCTAGTCACAGGCCTGGCATTTGACATTATTAGGGACCTGCCACTCTTTGCCATAAACAGATAAAATGTACCGGGAACTTTCCCCCCACACACTCATCATTCTCTCACTTTATGTAACTCGACAGAACCTATCAGTGGCGGCTCGTGCATAGGGCTGCAGTCCCCCCAGACACTCACTGCCAGGCGTATGATTCCTTTAGAGAGACAGCTGAATAATACACTACCAACAAATATATCATTTTATATGTTATTTAATTATTTTCAATGCGTTGCTAAGTGAATTTTCATTAAAATCAGACCAAAATTTAAGTTACTTTCATAGTTGCTGTCAATGCTGTACGATTCATGTCTGTTATCGCCGCCGCCGCCGCTGCACTTGAAGCAGCTCAGTCTCGTACAACGTGTGGACGGTGTGGTTAAATCGTGCTTTCTTTAATTACCTTTTGACGATGGAAAATCGAGTGAAGTATTTGCAAAACATCAACTTGTTGGAGATGATGAATGACAATAATCTACAGTCAACATTTTCAGACACTGTCAAGTTGCTGAAAATTTTAATAACAACTCTAATGACAACGGCAGAAGCAGAAAGGTGCTTTTCAACTTTGAAGAGAATTAAAACTTTTTTGCGCAGTACCATGGTGAATGACAGACTGTCTGCTTTAGCAGTGATATCCATTGAAAATAAAATGATAACAGAAATAAAGGATTTTAATGAAATAGTAATAAACAATTTTGCTACATCAAAGAGCAGACACGCGGACTATATTTTCAATTAATACTGGTCCATCACCACCAACACTACTACCATGCCCTGGGAATTCGTGGACATCAACTACAACTCATACCTGAGGTAGGTCAAATTTGTGTATCCTACTGTTGTGTGAGGCTTGCAGTCCCTCCATTTTATTTTTCACGAGCCGCCACTGGAGCCTATGACCCTTCAGGCTTTTACGCCCTTAATGTACGAGTCATAAAGGTAATTATGAACTTTTCATACTTCCCTGATGGGCGCTGTAAACGCTTCTGCGCTTCACCTTGCACAGGATGTAAGGGGGTGCCCAATAAACTAGCCCCCCCCCTCGGGGGCAAATCTGAATCTATAGCAGCAGGGTCTACCATTGAGAACACATTATGCTTCCAATATCTTCCCAGGCGGTAGTACCTCAATTTGATAGCTGCCTACCAATAAATTTTCTGCAATTTTTCCCAAATGTAATCTGTTGTAAACTATAAGTAATATCTTTTAAACGGCACAAATGTCTTACTATGAGCAATTCATTAACCTTAAGTTCTAGGGACTATTTCAACATTAAAATGCCCATATAGTCTCCCGATCGAACTAATTGTGTACTCGTACAGGTAGATCGTTCTCCCGGCATGTCGATGAGCAAGTGTTTCTTGCTTTCATTGACCACCCTATACCTTTCACCTAACCACAAAATTAAGAAATATCACGGGAGAACTCCTTCAATGCGTCTGCACTCGCAGTATGCATTGCTGGTTTGAATTTTATATTTTTTTTATCGGCTGTTGTCACTCACCGGTGGGGTTCATCTATTCTAGTTACAACAATCACAAGTTTACCTTTAGTAATAAACCACACTTACCATGATGCGACTGTAGCCATTATACGTTGGATTAAACTTTGCCAATCTAGTTCACAAAATGCAATGGCTGGCCATTGTGGTAAACACTGACGTAATGCCAAGCCTCTGGATATGGTAGTAATTACCGGTTGTTTTTGTCAGTATCATTAATGTGCAATATTAAAATTCATGGCAAACTACCTGTACTGTAAATTCAGGAAATTTGAAATGCATAAACTTTAAACAGGTGATGGGCGAGGGTGTTGTGATGGATGAAAGGCGATTGGTGAGAATTATCCTGTACTTTTATCATTCCATGTCATTATTATTTTTTGTGGTCGAGATGTCCTCTGCTTAGAACGAAAGCATCGGCCCCAAAGCCGACAATGGTTGCAGATATTGACCTAGGCAAGTCACCGAATGTCGCTTAGATCTGCGGTTCAGGTACCTTAACACATGTAGGGTAGCTACTTATGTACGAAGGGATTTAATTTTAGGGTAGATGGCCTCCCTCCCAATTATGGTTTTCTACATTGCATTTGGGAATTCGGTTCGATAAACCTGCTTTTAGCAGGTTATTGAATTAAACTTATTTGGTCACTGGCTCAATTTATTTTTCTACAATGCCCACTTTAACTTTGGTTTCTTGTAGCTCTTTTAACAGTACATTATAATTATTAAACTGAAGAGAATACGCGTGTATATATATATATATATTTATATACTTTTTTTTTTACCTCACTTTCAGTTCGACAAATAATTTTATTTATTACATTTCAAAGTTATAAAATTAAATTTGTCATATCAATGGGCAAAAAAATATTTCCACTCATGTTGGGTAAGAAAACGAAGTCTTGTGCTATAAATCATATTACAAAAAAATAGAAAGAAATAGAAGAAATTTGTTCAAATTTGATTCATACAATTGGAAATAAGGAATGTACACTGATCAACTAGGGAAAAGAAAAGGAGATGCAGTTGACCAATTTTATAATTTAGTCATTTAGGCATATTCCCCCTCTACTTCACCTTCCTCTTCGAATTCCGCCTCATCATCGGCAGTCGCTTCCTGGTATTGCTGGTATTCAGACACTAAATCATTCATGTTGGACTCTGCCTCTGTGAACTCCATCTCGTCCATGCCTTCACCAGTGTACCAATGGAGGAAAGCCTTTCGCCTGAACATAGCTGTGAACTGTTCACCCACACGCTTGAACAGCTCTTGGATGGCAGTGGAGTTTCCAATGAAGGTAGAAGCCATCTTGATTCCGCGTGGTGGAATGTCACACACAGCAGTTTTTACGTTGTTGGGGATCCATTCAACAAAGAATGAAGAGTTCTTATTTTGAATATTGTACATTTGTTCATCAACCTCCTTCATAGACATACGACCACGGAAGATAGCAGCAACTGTCAAATAACGTCCGTGTCTGGGGTCGCATGCAGCCATCATGTTCTTTGCATCGAACATCTGTTGGGTGAGCTCTGGGACTGTAAGGGCACGGTATTGCTGGGAACCACGAGCGGTTAGAGGAGCAAACCCAGGCATGAAGAAGTGAAGACGAGGGAAGGGAACCATGTTGACAGCCAGCTTTCTTAAATCGGCATTCAGTTGACCAGGGAATCTGAAGCAAGTGGTCACACCAGACATTGTGAGAGAAACGAGATGGTTAAGGTCACCGTAAGTGGGGTTCTGTAGTTTCAGTGTTCTGAAGCAGATGTCATAGAGGGCCTCGTTATCGATACAGTAAGTTTCGTCCGTGTTTTCAACAAGCTGGTGAATTGATAGTGTTGCATTGTAGGGCTCAACAACAGTGTCTGAAACCTGAAAAATAAGGGAACATGAGATGGATGTCTTGACAAAATTTAAATACACCCAAACCCTATCATTTCCTTGAAACTTTCATAGGGAAAAAAAATAAATTAAAATATAAACCTATAAATTGCTGAAGATTCACAGTACAAGCAAAGATACCCATTCTGCATGAATTGATTATTTTCAATATTCCACCGATATACCAAGCCAATTCATCGATACACAATTTTATCTAAAATAACCACTCAACACCCAGACCCACGTCTACAATATCTGCAGAACGTGTTTTCCATTTTGTGATTTCACATTAAAAAATACTTTAAACTAGTAATTACTGTAGTATGAATTAGTTGTAAAATCCCTAATACAGTATTGTCTTAACTATGTCTTTGCCATATACAGTACAGTATTGGAGTTTATGGACACCACAACCTTTACACTGTGTACAAGTTTCTTTGTAGGTATGGGAATTATTGATACAATTGATGGTACAGATACTTGTAAGAATGCAGACCACATTCTTCCATTTATACCAGTTTGCCAACTCCTCCCGGTTTAAATACTTTATGTAATTTAAAATAAGCCAGTGCTTTTATAATTTAGAATTCTATTAAATATAAATCCAAACCAGACAATTGACCCAGATAAAAAAGTAGGTTTCCACGTTGAAAACATCTAGTCCTTTCATTTGGGAAAGTGGAGGCCATTCTAGAAATTTTGCATGGAGCTTCATTAAAGTCCATGCGTATTAACACCGTTTTATTTTTGTTTCATTCTGGTCTTTAATAAATTGTTTTAGCGAGATGTTTACACGGGTAATGTTTGTATTTTCGTCTTTAATAAAATTATCTTGGCGAGATGTTTGCACGCTCCATATGTATTGTGTTATTCCGAAACAATTTCTTACTACAATTTTGTAAACTAGGCATTTTGATTATTTTCTATCCCAAGCAAGTTGAATGGGCAAGTTTTGTGAAATTTTCGTGTATATATTGATGAATTTAATTATGTAAAGAGTTTTCTATAATGTAGTGCACCATTACTTTGTTATGAATTACTAATTATTGTAAGCTTCGAAGAAAATTTTTATGCACGTATTTGTGGAATTGTGATTATATTAAAGTGCGAAGACTAAGGAATTATACACTGGTAATGTGCTGACTATGTATATTAGAAGTGTGGTATACTTGATGTGTGGAGTCAAGCTGTGAAGACATTGCCGTCTTTTTTGCAATTCCACAACTTCTGTGAACTGGGAAATAACTATTTACATGTGGCACTTTTGTTTAAGTGAATCATAGCCATCACAGATAGAAAAGCATGAAGGATTTAATTTTTATTTTTTTTTACCAAGTGCAAAGTTCAGACCACAGCTTGAGACCAGGACTTTCTTTAGAGGTTAGAGATAGGATTGACTGCTACCTACAAACCTGCAGAACCAAGTGTGCAAATGGATGTAAAGCTGCCTTATGCATTCCAGGGCCTCATTATGTCAATGAATGTGCCAAAATAGATGGGGATTAGGATAAGAATTTACCAGCTCCAATTTCTAGGGAAATTGAAATACACTACTTATAAACATCAGCAGAATGTACACGAGGCTGACATACTGGGTTCAATGAATTGAAATATGGTAAAACTAGGGCGAGACCACAAACTTACCTTGGGAGATGGGACAACTGAGAAGGTGTTCATGATTCTGTCGGGGAATTCTTCACGGATTTTTGAAACAAGGAGGGTGCCCATGCCAGACCCAGTACCACCACCAAGGGAATGTGTCAGCTGGAAGCCCTGAAGACAATCGCATTTTTCGGCTTCCTTGCGGACAACATCAAGGACGGAGTCTACAAGTTCAGCACCTTCTGTGTAATGACCCTTGGCCCAATTGTTACCTGCACCACTCTGACCTGAAATTACAAAATTTTTGAAAACCACATACAGTGTAGTTGTAAGAGAAAGTAAACATTAAAACAAAAGTAACAAAAAAATCTAAGCAAAACATTTAAAATTACAGTAACAATCTTTGAATATATCGAGCCCAGACCATGTAAGCTACCAATCACATCCCCTTACTTCAAGAGAAACTTACCGAATACAAAGCTGTCTGGTTTGAAGAGTTGTCCATGGGGTCCAGCTCTGACACTGTCCATCGTACCGGGTTCCAAGTCGACCAGAACAGCACGGGGTACATATTTTCCTTGGTTGCCTTCATTATAGTATACATTGATGCGCTCCAACTGGAGTTCCATCAAGTCTTTATCGGCACCAGTGTATTCTCCAGTGGGCTGGATGCCATGTTCATCACTGATGATTTCCCAGAACTGAAAGAAATAAAATTTTATATGCCAAGTTTCTTTTCATAAAAATCTTCATGACTTTTAAAGTCCGACCACCACAAATAAATTCTTTTACATTCAGCTAGCTCTGGTTAACTTATGGTTGCATTACACACTGTACTGCAACACCGGTAGTCTTAGCTAAATTTACAGCATAGCTTATAACATTCTTTAAGACAGCTGTTGATTCTTATACTAGAGGTTTCTAGAACGTCAACTTTAATACATTTTTAATAGATTGTAATGACAACTTTAACCCCAAAACCAGCTTATCAGAGCACAAATCGAAGCACTGGCGGAAATACAAAGTTTCACTTACGGTACAGTTGAAATCGGCAAACTGTGGTCACTTTAAACTCTAAAGGTAATTCAATATTGTTTCAAACGTTTTTCATTACTTTACTTAATGTTTATACCAAACACTGCTACGGTTTGGTCAAATTATGACACCGCATTTGTTATACATGATGCATAACGCCTACACAAAGGTTCTAGAATAATCTTGGACATTTTTCGGAATATTTATCAATACAATGGGTAAGTTGTCCCAAACAAATTGGCTGCAGTCTTAAATAATATATGTAGTACTGCTTTTGTTCACAATAAGTGTAGTTACGTAACTTTTCATTGGTACTCAGACAGGAGCACACTTACACAATCATCTTATTCATGGAGGCGATTTAGCTTAGATACATTAGATACCTTTTCAAAACCTAACCAAATTAATCGAGTCAAGGCGGGTTTGACGTCAATATGACACTCAATTGCGTTGCTAATACAGGAACCAAGATAAAATATAAAGAAACCTCATTTCCTATTAGATCTGAACTTAGCCAACAGTTTGGAATATGACTAACCAATACATAGCTTTATCAAGAGACAGGCGAGGGAGGGAGGGGCGGTAGAGACAATGGTGGTTGGCGGGAGTGGCGGGTGAGGGAGGGCGACGCGGCCCGGCTCCCTCCCTCCCTCGCGGTCGTGACTCACCCAACCACACCTTACTTTACCTCACTTGTAGATCACTAACACACTACACTGGTTTATTTAAAACAATATAACTGCACTGTAAGTACCTACACCATACGCCTAAATAAAACTACTGGAGCTCAAAACAAGGTCTCGCCTCACCCTTAACATACGAAATTTTTACTTTTCTATTTCTTTTACTAAGTAGCTAAGCCTTTTCCACTCATCCACCACCCTATTTGTGAACCAGTTCCTTCTTATCTCCCTCCTAAACCTATAATCTTATCCAACTTAAAAACCGATTGCTATGAGTCCTATCCTGCTCGGACATAAGAACTTAATCTATATCCCCTTTATTGATTCCTTTCACCCACAAATACTTCCTTTCACCCACAAATACTTCTATCATATCTCCCCGACACAAGTTTAATACACCATAAGTAAAAACCAGAACACATCCATCACGGTGGCCATTACAGCGAGGCCACCGGCATATGGCTACGCCCTATGACAAGTAACAACCCCATGTTTTAAGTTATATCTCGAAAAATACACAAAAATAGAACTATACAAGGATTCTACTGACATAACTAGAGATCTTTCTTACCTTTGTTCCAATCTGGTTGCCGCACTGGCCGGTCTGTAGGTGAACAATTTCCCTCATGGTGGTGTGTGTGTTATCGGTGACCGCCAACTGCCGCTTCTGACGGAGGTTATGAAGGGTGGCCACCGCGAAGCTTGGGTTGGACTGCCACGAGTCGCCAGAAAACCCAATAGGCACATACTATTCCTTTTTAAAATTATAAACCTGCTACAAATAACCAAATTACTAATGTTTTATGTAATTTAAATAACACCTATATTCTCATTATTATATTTTCTTTTTTAAATTATATAAATAGGAAAAAACAAATCTTGTATTGATCTTGGTCTTGCGCGCTCATATTTGAATTGCGGGGCCCTGTTGTGGGTGAACCCTGGCGGTGAATCCTGATATAAAAGATATCATTTACTAAGAGAAATCAAGATACTTTTCTTAGGTTTATTGACACTATTGAACTATTTTCGGTCTAGGTATCTATATTTCGTACTATTATAAGGTATAGTGAACCAAGGAAAGGCATAATGTTAAATATTCATCACAGGAGCTGGAGTTGCCCTAATGTAGAACAACCTTGACTTTCCCTGTGATAGCCTTAGTTTAAAGGGTGACATGCCACAACATATTTGGTTATGACCAGCTTTTTCATGAAATATGCTGTAGTAAGTTAAAGGGCTATTCTTGGCCAGCAATAGTAAATTCAATCACGTATTAACATTCAAAAGTTCGACTTTCTATCAATGAATTTCATCTTGTAATGACGATAAATCACTATTTATTATGTCGTCTATAATTTCACTACTATGATTGAGACAAGTTTAACCTATAACTGCATATATTCAAATAATTTATATTTGAAACTATCATGTAACGAACTTCCCGCGTTATATAATATACTGTATATTATAGCTGATAAACAAGCAAATGACACTACACCGAATAAAAGACGAAACAAGGGTGAAATCTTAAGATATCTTCACATTTCTATTTATTTGCGTTTACAAATACGTAATAATATTTTAATCATAGACATGTATGGCAATTCTCTACTGGGGGTGTAACGGTCGGTTTGTTGTACGACCAAACTTATTCATCTACCATCAAATTGAATGAATCTGCTTTCTCCTATATAGGGTAGATATATAACATTGCCACATTTATTTTAAAATATTTGAAATAAATTATAAGTATAAATCATTAGAGATGGTAATGCTGGGTTGATTTTCACTGTAAGAACCGGCAAGGGTCAGCTGCAGCCTCTGAAGTGTCAACCACCTCCACAACTCTCCTCTCTTTGCCATTATTAGTTTTATTTCGAAGACAGAAAGAACCCCTCTCCGTCTTTTTCGCTGCATTCACTCATAATTAATTTTCCTCCATTCCTGTTACTGTATTTGAGTTTATATTTCAAAGCAGACATGCGGAAGCAAGTGAAATGTTGGTAACACTTACTGTTGCCGCATTAGTGGGCACATGATTCACCCGGTCGTGTTTTACCACTGTTTTCAGTTAAACAGAGTAAATTAAGTGATTCAAACTACCATTTTGCGTTCAAATTTATACCAAGTACCATATGTAGCAGTTCCAAAATAAATCTTTGAAGTAAGTAATTAGAAAAAAGTTATATGCTTGGCCATAAGGTGTTTTCTTCGTGTGGCAACACGGGCTGTTGGAGTTGCGGGCTATTGATTAAACTGCAGAACTAAGAAGCTGGGCTGAGCGAGCCTCTGGCTTGAGAAGTTGAGCAACTTGTATATTCGTGGGAAGTTGAGTCACAGATGAATAATGTAACACATGGGCCTACAGGTTGCTGAATAAGGTATAACTGTCCTCCAATATTTAAGAGAAAAAGTAACAAGCTCTAGGTTGTGGTCCTCCTGCCAGACTTCACTGTGACGGTACACAGGTAACACAGAATAACTTTGCCCAACATGTAGAGGAGTATGGTGATGCTCACTTTACTACTGATATACTATATATGAGTATATACATTCCAATGTACCTTGTGTATGTAAAAATAAATGCCAGCCATTTGTCTTACGAATGTTAATGGTTTAAGTAAAGCGCACAGATAACGTGACAAGCGAGTATAAATTTAGAGTAAAGTTAACGTAACTTAATGTGTACATCAACATACCTCTCACATCCGCCAGGGCTTTGCAAAATTCGATAAGATCAGGATGATAGCGTCCTATGCATTAAACAAGATATATATTGCTGCGTTAGATAGATTAATATGTGATTATTGGAGAGCGAGAGGGGGGGGGGGGTCAGTAACAGTTCCATAACACACAACACCGCCGAACGAACGGTAAAAGATGCATGATAGCCAAGGGAGAGTACAGCTGGTAGGGTGTTTAAAGGCAGGACCTCTGAGTCAGCAGGGTGAGACACGGGAGCAGTGGTATCACGTATAATGGAAATAGTCAGCTGTAGGTCATTCTTGTTGCTTATATTTATTATTGTAGAGTTTAGTGATTATCCAAGAACATAATACAACGTTGATAACTCAGCCAATATAAGATTTTGGTGATGGTAAGTGGCAGCAGCGGTGGTGGTGTCGGATGTGTTACACCACCTGTGACGTGGGGTTGGTGGGGAATGAGTCGTCCTTTCCTTTCTATTTATTTGGTTATTTATTGCTTAAAGTTTAAAATGTTACTATGTTATACCCGGTCCCTATTGAGTAGCACGCTAACAAGACATTCTGAATCTACACATTTACTTGTTTTTCTCCTAACATCAAGACTGGGTATGAAAGCTGGGGCATTTAAACTGCCCCACCCTAGGGGGGATTGGTTGCTTGGTATGCAATAGGTGGCGACTGTGACCCACAATAGGCTGTTGCTGGGAGCCACCGCAGGTTTGGAGCAAATAAAACCACAGGACGAGACGATGTTACTGTATATCTGGTGCTCAGTTTAATTACAGTGGGTGTAGTAATTATATAAACAATGTATGTAGTCCACATTTATATACCTGTAAGTATTACTCTGCTAGACAGGGCTAATACAAAGGTATATAAATTATCAGAGTCGCCAATTCAACAATAATTTTTAGAGTTTTCACTAAATCGTTTGTTTAAATACTTGAAATGCAGTTGCAATGGTGGAACAAGGACAACATAAATATGAATTCGTCTAAAAAGTTGGATGTCACTAGTGTTAACGAGTTTCACGGGCACGTAATCATACTACAACTGTGCTTACTGAAGCAGTATAAAATACAGAAGAGCACCATGGGTGAGGTAGAATGTACCCAAGTGACCCAACCTACGTGTGGGAACAATGAACTGAGCAGAGGTCACACAATCAAGTGATGGTTTCAGTACCGAAACTCATATGGTGGGTTCAGTTTGTGTGTGCCTTCACTTCTATATATATTTTTTCTATTTCTGGATGAAATTTAAATCTATAATGCTAAACTCCTTAAATCATCGCTCTATAACAGGTAATTTCCCTGCCAATCTCAGTCTCTGCATCATGTATAATGTTTGGCATGATATACTACAAACAACTTTATTTACTTTAGTATTATCATATTTGACAAGCATGGCTCGTGCAAATTTTCAAATGTACATCAAACACGAGATGTAACCTTCTCATATAAGATAACAATACAGTAAGTGAAATAAAATAAGTGTTGGGACTGGTCCACTTACGTTTTCCAATGTGAAAACTGAACATGAAAGATCTAAAGCATGCCACACAACTTTTGATTGTGTTTACCTAAACAATTACTGTTTTAATAGTTCTGTTTTCCTCTACTTTACTTTCTTCACACACATCCCCCTAAAAAGAAAACTTCTTTAAAGTGAAATGAATCGACACAGTTGATTTAGCCGATTTGATATACACATTATGCAAAAGTATTAACAATATGAAAATTTTTGAGGCTTTGGAGAGGTGCGGCTCCCTTGAAAGGCACCTGTGTTCGTAATCCCTCCCATCCCCTCCCCTTCAGGCTCTCCTTCAAATAAAACAATCCTCCATTGATCACCAACTTCCTCACGAACACTTACAAGAGCAGGAAAACCAAAGCGAGTCTGGCACCGCTACTGACTTCAACCCTCATTCTTGTGCCGGATAGGCTGTAAAGGCGTTTAAAACACACTGCAATACACGAATCTTTAATTCATTAACTTGCTAATGCTGTGACACTACATAATTTAAAAGAATGTTGGAAAAGTCACAAAAAAAGTTTCATAAAATTCAGTTTTGGTAAGCGAAAAGTCAAAGAAAACAGTGAGTATCCTGCCATTCTGTGTAATATCTAGTACGACAATCTTTAGTTATTAGAATATTAGTGTGGGAGCTGTCATTTGATAAACAACTCTTAGATAGCGTGATGCTTATTGACAGTGATCCACAAGTGTGTCATCTGTCTGTTTACGAGTCCTACATATTAAAAAAATTGCGGGCACTAAGCTACACTTTCCCAAGTTTAAAAGGGCGGCTTGTATGTGTTAACCCCCTGTTGTCATGGGCTGCCACCCTGTTGTTTTGTATCTGCTGTCACTGTCTCCTTCTGTTATGATCAGTCCCATTGTGGTTATGTGCTGTCACACCTTGGATTACATTACCAACCCTTATAATTACAGTACCTACCCTTGATTATATTACCTTTAATTATATCATTTACTCCCGATTATAATATATATCCTTGATTACAGTATCTATAACACCGTTGGTTATAATTCCTGATATCACAGTTCTCGATTATACCATCTATGACCTTACTCATCAACTGTAGTTGGTTATACCAAATACTGTAAACAATAATGGTTGCTCCCTCATGTCCACTATTTGATTAACACCCAAGTCCCCAATTACTGTTGGGTAGACATACACCATACAGTATACTGCTTGACCATACGAACTATAATTGCTGACTTCCTTTGACTTCGATTCCATCTACTCTTAATTAAATCGCATTTAGTCTGATCAGGTGACCCTCTGTCTTAAATGTGAACCATCTTATTCTTAATTACATTATATCTCTCATAAATCTCACTCATAACATCTATTACCCATTGTTGTACATATCTGTTTTGATTATAGTACTGTACTGTACTTAAGCCGCGTAAATATATGGTGCCAAAATACTCAGAAAGACATGTGTTGACAATATAACGGAGGAGCCTCGTCACTCAAGACTTCCC